AATAACACAATCTTTATCTACAAGACTACAACATCAACAGATGTAATGATAACAGTGAAATTATTTTATTTGACTATATTAATGTTGAAAAACTCTACATCTACAACATCAACAGCAAATGTAATGATAACAGTGGATTATTTTATTTCACTATATTAATGTTGAAAAACTCTACATGCCAGTGACATCAGACGCTACGCTATTTTCATTCTCCATGATTTCGTGCTTTATTAATTTTATTATTTTAGTTGCATCTATTTTTCATTAGTTAATACAGAGATAAAACCTATTTTTATTTTAGGTTCTTAAGATTTTATGCTCGAACAGTATTAACTCTAAAAAGCATAGCCCACAAATATAATAAATAATAAACTCACTTACGGTACAATAAATGGAAACACAAATTTTGGTATTAGACTGTTAAATCGTTAATCGGATTGACTCGTCATATATTTTAATAAAATTTTATATTTATGTTATGAAATATATATAATATTTTACGTTTTCGCAATATGACAATTCATTTAAAAAATATGCACATATACTTAAAAAACCATGAGCGCCTGATTAATTACTGTTAGTACTAACTCTTTTCAACAAAAATAATTAATATCTTGAAAGTGAAATGTTATATAAATTATAAAACACTAGAAAATAATCATTTGTATTTTATTAGAAATAGTACAGTCTCATGCTTAATGTATTGTATATTATTATAAAGCACAACTAAAATATTTTTTGACTCATTACAACGTTATTTAACCATTTTGATCAAAATGTGGGTAAATTTAAGGTTCTGTAATTCTGTTACGTCTCGAATGTGGTGGTGTTTGCAATTAAAATAAAACAAAAAGGTCTCTCTCAAAGGAGAAAAAGTCTTTGTGGGACACTGTGTGGTTCTCAAATCAGATTCAAGTTTAAGCTTATTGGCTTATGCATATACCAATCAATTAAAGATAACATCACTTGCGAATTGAATATGCAGCCAATACATGGAATCTGCATCAGTCGAATAAAATAATGTGAAAAGACTAAAAGGATTCCTGATCGCTTTTATTAATATTATTATTATTATTATTATTATTATTGTTATTATGCCCCACTAATTCAACTTGGGATTTATTTTGATTTGGTACAATATTTAAATTCAAAAATCTTCATAATAGGACATATGTTTTGCGTTATTAATATGATTATTATACTTTACAATATGGGGGATAAATATAGTATAGCTTACGTATATAAAAATGGTGCAGTAAATGAACAGAATCGAGCCAAGTTTGAGCTCCTAATATTAAAGCTCGAGTTCGAACCGAGTCAATAAGCTCATTCAAACTCGATTTGTTTATAACGAGTCAAACTTAATTCTCAACAATTGAGATATACATAGAATATTACATAAAAATCCTTATTTTCGAGTATTAGAGAGCATAATCGAATATTATCTTTTTAATTTAAAAATAAAAGTAAAAGTTTGAACTCCGAAAGTTGAGTGTCATGCATAAATAATATGCAATTTGAGCCACTTTGCAGTCTGCACAAATTTGATTGCCTTTTAGTTTTCACGGTAGAGTCGTTTTAGCCATGGGGTTTTAGCCACACATTCACACATACTCATGTGGGTATGTGTGAAATTTGTGGTCGAAAACTCCGTGGGGCACTACGCATGAATAGGATGAAATCAACCAGATTTCGCATTACTTTTAACTTGGTCCTCTTTTCGTTTAACGAATTTATGTAATTATGCAGCTATTTCATTGAGTTGTTCTAGTTGTTTTGTAGATTGTAAATATGTTATTATTTATGAAAGTTTATGGTTCCGACATAAATAAAAAAGATAAATTATGTAAGTCAATAAGTGGTCATCGTATATGATACTAACGATAATTAGGGTGGTTTTTAAATAACAAAGCTAATGTACACTATATCCATCTTTTGGTATATTAAATTATTAGTGTTCATATACTTCAAACAAAATAAGTCGATCTGTAATTTTCAATCTTGAGAAAAATAAAAGCCTAATTTTTAAAGGCAAATTAGGTAATAATTCTACTTTGGTTGTAAGTGGTAATATGATACGTTAGACTCCCTAGTCACTAGGTAGACGTGTTTTTCTCATGCAGTCAATAATTATAGAGTTTTTTCTTTTTCAAATATTTGGAGCTCTGATCTATATATTTTTAGACTAGAATGCATAACAAGTAAATACAAATATGAAATATAGATTTAGAAATTAATTTCATGTTAAATAAATTGATCATTGTATTTAATTCTTTCAATTTATATTAAAAACATGAATTAATAATATATATTAAACTATTTACTATAATTATAATCAGCATTATGATAGCTGTTATGTAAATTAATGGTAATAAACTGAATTAATGCTAGTTAACATTAGAATAAAATATGATAAATGATATCTGTAACGGAAAAGAATTACTAAAAATAGTAAGATGTTTTAATGGGAAAAAAATTAATACTATTTCTTGAATTGTTCCAATTATATTTATAGATTGTATTCAATCTTATTCACATACACGGATGAAAATAAGATATTATAAGTTGTGTGTACAATATTATATTTGAAATCATTAGTTAAATAATTGTATCTCGTTTTATATATTTGATCTTTAATAAAAATGAATATTATAATTATAAATTATTTTACTTATATATGAATGGCGTGGAAGGCACGAAATTTAACGAGTAATACAAATTTAAGATATCCAATAATTAATTAATTGAAATGTATTTGGTAATCATTCATCTATTGATTATAAAAAAATAACATCACACTTAAGTTGAAAAAAAAAGAAATAATAATTTAAAAAAATAGAATAAAATATCATTTAATGTGTATTTATGATTAGTTAGTAGTAGTTATATAATAAAATATAAAAGAAATATAATTACTTTATTAATACAAAATAGCAGAAAATGGAAAAGTTTTACTTAGAATTATACACGCACACACACACACACATATATATATATATATTGACACAATTTCAATAAATAGATATGTTTTTATTTCATATATAATTTTTAATTTAAACATTATAATTAGTGGAGTTTAAACAATCTTAGAGCATCTGCAATGTTTTGGGTTCAATCACAAAAAATTATATGCCACCTAAAAATAGACTGAGTCTAAAAAAATATACTCTCCAATGCAAATAAAAGAAGACTGGGTCCTGCTGATGTGGCAACCAGAAAAATAGACTCGGTCTACCCTTAAGTCTATTTTAAACCCAAGTAAAGACCTAGTCTCTTTGCATTGAAGTAGATTTTGTTAATTTTACATAGTTTTATTCATGTCATCCAAGATTTAAGTTAATTTACATGACACATAAGCAATACTAGACCCAATCCATTGCAGATGCTCTTAAGTTAACAATAACTACACTATGACTTATTGCACAACGTCAATTGTTCGAGTAAAGTTGTGAATAATAGTTATACGACGCTTGTCCGGCACTAATTTTTAATGAGTAAATAATCAGTTGCGTCACGAGTATATATTTGTGAATCAAATGCAGTAAATTATTAGGAGCATAAATATAAAGAATGTTATGCCGGATATTCTAAATATCACAATTACTCAATCGCTAGTTTAGTCTTCAAAGATACTGAAAATTCTAAGTAAAATAAATTAAATGCCGATCATGACTATGGGACGTAAAGACTAAAGACCGAGAAATATTTTTCGCTTTAAAATAATGCGCACACATTCAACATGCATAAAATGCGATACGTTAGTACATTACCTGCCTTTTTCTTCTGCTGGGCCGGGTCGGCGCTCAGCTGTGGCAGAAAAAATCCGGTTCCGGAGGGTCCTTTACCCGACCCGGATCCGCCAAGAAAGACGGCCTGCATACGCGACCTGTTTTCCCACCTGTTCTGCGCGTGCCTATGCTGGTGTCGCCGTGCTTTCGGCTGAGCTGTCTCTGTCCCTTTGACTAGCTTTCCCCCAACAAATTGCTCCTCTTTAGGTTGTTTTTTCAGCTCCAAAACCTACAAATGTAATTTATTTAATTCCCGACATTAGTTTTGCTAACATAAAAAAATTACCGCTATTTAGCAATTTGCTGGAAAGTAAAAACACAATAATGATAATGTTACAATAAGTAAAAATGTTGAATTACATTAATTTATTATTTCTTTTATATTTAAAAAATCTATTCATCATATCTTATTAGTTACACTACCTTAT